CACACACACACACACACACACACACACACACACAAAGGAAAAAAGAAAAGGAAAAAAAGAAAAAAATGAAAGCTACTCCCTTCCCCAAAGCAGCGCTACGCAGGCTTAATTATAAGACGAGCAAATGATTCTACACGTGCCTTTGCTGACATCTTTCAAAAAAAGTTGCCTTCTTATGTCAGTCGTAATCGTCCAAATAAGATTAAGCTATTTTAGTTGACATTTCAGGGTATGTACCCAACGAGCTACTATGAGTTCAAAAGAAACCAGAGACTATAGACTTCCGTGCAATCGGTAGAACTACGAGAAAACACAAATCACTGGCGCTTTCTAAATGGAAGTTTGTTCCTCTCTTGTCCGGTCAACAAGGAATATTGTGTTGCGAAAGAATCTTTTTGGGCAACAGTACAAGTGTTGACTTCCAGCTCTAATAAAAAACCAGTGAATTCTTTCTGCAAATTAATTAACTTTGTTTCTTTTTGTCAACAGATCAAGTCGAACGGAAGCCATTAGCCCGAATTCGTTGAATGTTGTCATTATTCTTTAATGGAAGTCACTTAGGAATCTTCAGTCAAGACAAAAACTAATAAAACGAAAGGAAAAGCAAATCACAGAAATTAATTGCGCTTTTCTTTTGTGGCGTCTTGTTTCCTCAAACTTGTGCCATGACGCTAATTGCGCTGATCAACATACAGGAAAATAGTCCTCAGAATAAGAGAATAACTGAAAAACAGCTTTTTTTTTGAGATTCGATTTTTAACCCCACTAAATCTTCTCAAAAAAGAATTCATAACACTAATATTCTAATATTTTATAACACTTCTTCGGCTAACAAACATTACTTTTTTGTAAGATTCCTGAACTTCGTGTCGCATAAACTGAGTATTTATTTCCCTGTCAAAGCTTCAAGTTTTGGTGACAGAAGCAATCGATTTCTAGTTTTCATTGAATCGACGGAAAAAGATTTTCTTTGACAATTTAGATTGAACTTGATGTCATTAGTGCTAGCCATGACTCAAATGTTTTGTGATATACCCTCTTATTAACGTACGGTTCCCTGTTGATATATCTTTTACAGAAAAAATTGTAAGTCGAGATCTGAAATAGTCGATCTGAGACTAAACGCAATTTTTGTGCTTTGATGTTAATTTTCTGGCTGAAATATGAAAAAGCACATTTCTAACGTAAAGTGGCTATTAATCCTACAGGATTTCTTCATGGATTTAAAGAATTTGCTCAAATCAAAATAAAGTAGGGTTACCTTCCCTACGTTAAAAAAAAAGACAATTAACAGGGTTAAAACGACTATTAAGAGGGTTAAAATATGCAAACAGACAATTTAGTTTGAAATAAATGGGGCAACAGCTGTTCAAATGAGTCTGTAGTCAAGAAATACACACAGAAGCTGGTCCTTCTACTGTGATCGCCTTCACTTCCTTCGCGAGGACGGAAGTAGTGTTAGAATGGTAATATAAACTAGCATAGTACAGAAAAATAGTCCGAAATAAACAGATTTCACTAATTCCATCTATCTAGCTAAGAAATTCAGACCGAGAAAGGTGTGGCTTGCATGAGGAGACGAAACTCGACACGAGTTGCAAGCAGACAATTTAGTTTTAAATAAATGAGGCAACAGCTGTACAAATGAGTCTGTAGTCAAGAAAGACACACCGAAGCTGGTCCTTCTACTTCGTTCACGAGGACGGAAGTAGTGTTAGAATGATAATATAAACTAGCATAGTACAGAAAAATAGTCCGAAATAAACAGATTTCACAGTTTTCGGCACTTAGTTTCGGCACTAATTCCATAGGTGTGGCTTGCATGAGGGGACGAAACTCGACACATTAAATTATTTGATAAATTGATTAAATTTTTGGACGGCCATTATTTATGTCCATTATAAATGACAATGCATGTTTCGAAGGTAAATACTGACATGCAGCACTGAAATAACACACATTGTGTAATGCATAAGTTATATGTTTACAGCATAGCAGTGATCACCACAGGTAGCCTAAGCTTGGTTTCTGTGGTGTCATGTTATAAGGAAATGTATTGGGATTCATCAAAAATTTCAATAAAATCATCGAAACGTGAAATAAAGCCTCGAAATTTTACCCGATCATTGAGAAATAGCACTTCTTTCGCTCTGAGTGATTATTTTTTTTATATTTAGCCCGTTTTATGATTTTTTCCCCCACCAGTAAAAAATACTGGTGCTATTTTTCAACGATCGGGTAAAATTTTGAGGCTTTATTTCCCGTTTCAATGATTTTATTGAAATTTTTGATGAATCCCACACATTTCGGTAACATGACACCACAGAAACCAAGCTTGGGCTACCTGTGTGATCACAGGTCATTACGCACTTCACTAACTTTGCAATGGATGCTGGGACAGTAAAATATTACTCGCGTACGCATATGTAACACTAGCATATGTGACACTAGTACTGTATATGAAAGTTCACTTAACGGTTTACCATTGGTATTATTCAATAACGTATAACAGCACTCATGATATATAATACATGGTATATCCCTACTGCATCACAAAGTGTACTTACTCGCTGGGTTCGGACATTTGCATTGAATTCCTATCTCCCTTGAATTTAACAAATAATTTCCTGTCACGCCCACTCCCGTGCTTGTGTTTTCTTCCTCTTTTTTTCTTTCCTTTGTGGTCACTGGACTGTGACCTTGGTTTGTCGCTATGATCGATCAAAGAGCTGCAACAACGATAGAAACAATACAATCAGCTAGTAAAATTACAGGATGCTAATTATAACAGGTAGGTGTGTCAGAAAAAAAGGACGACACGAAAACGAAGCCCACGCAGCAACAAGGCAGCTCTTACAAAAAACGTAAAAGCTCCGCCTAGCTAGCTTGAATCTCACCCACAATGATAACACAATGTAAAGAAAGCATCGGATAGTATGGAAATAACAAAGTACAAACCCTTCAGGAGATCTTTCAGTATAAGTCTTTTCTGGGGTTGTCTCATCTGGATTTGTTATGGGGCTCTCCGTCAATGGAATAGCATTATAAGTACCAGCCTTTGGCTTTTTTAAGGCTGATTTGAGAGGCTTCTTTTCGATTGGTGCTTCAGAGGGCGTGTCTGAGGTCGTAGTGGCAGCGGATCCCGAGGCACCTATTTCCGGGATGATTTCTGGTATACTGGTGAATTTAGGGCCCACTTTATGGGGTTTATCTAAGGCTTTGTCTTCCTCGTCTGTATCGGATGAGTCTGTGTCTCCTAAGGATTTCTTCTTCTCAGGCTCTTCTTCAGGTGTTGTATCTGATCAAAAAAAATGGCGACATTTAGTTGAGAAAGAGACTTTGCACCACCTAGCGGCAGCCATGTTGGACGGCAGGTACTTTTTCATTTAGCTGCGTATTCGCAATAGAAGGGTATCCGTGTTATAGAGGTGTAGGTACCAAGAGGTACGACTGCAGCAAGTTTTGACAGGCATCTACCAACAATCCCATCATTGAATTTCCACGGTAATTTTTCACAAGACACATTTAAAAAAAGATATTAGTGTTGTTTTTAGATAAGAATGGGTATGAGATATAAGACGTATAAGAGCATGGGGACCTACCCATTGGTGTACTGTGCATAGGACCGTCTGATGCATATAATGTAGCGCCTGTATGGAAAAGAAACGTTGACAATTTTGAGAAGGATTACAAATATAAAGCAATAATGGACCAGAATTCAATCTTAATTTCAAGTTACTCACCTTTCTGTCTCTTCTTCAAAAGAGCATTTTCCCCTCCGTTTGGAGCTACAATAATAATATGAACTTTTAAAATACACATGCAGATCTTGGTGAACGAATGCACGAACGAACAGATAAACACCAATGAGCAGGCAGTTGTTATTTCGACATGTGTGGTTATAAAGTATCAAGACCTTGTAATCAAGGAGTATGGTTAAAAAACGAAGTCGATTCTCGCGAGAATCGGCCCCCAGATTAATGGTCAGCTACTGCAAGGCAGCTGAAATATTAGACAGCTTTTTTCTTGCACTTTTTGTGTGTTTTGAAGTTGCACAGGTTAATATAATCAACTTCTTGAGCAATATTTCTTTGCTTGAGGCAGTATATGGAACTGTTAATTCCCGATACGTTTAAAATTGGAAAACACCACGCCCAATAGACCTTGAGTGACCACGTACGAAAAAAAAAGACCCTTCTCGAACTCGTTTGAGTGACCACGAAACAATCGCTCCAAGTCTAGCTTGGACTTGAAGTGTTCATACATTTACTGTATTTTATCAAGTCCAACCTCGACTTGGAACCATCGTTTCGTGCTCGGGAAAGATCTTTCTCATACTCATTAATAATTCATGAGTAAACCAGCCAATCAATGGGCTATTTTTTGGGTCACATGATGCTACTTGAAACCTGGTAAAGTCCTGTGAAAGGACTGAATTAATTTTGTTCAAGTCCTTGGACTGGATCAAAAATAATTCAGTTCAGGGACATATCTGTCCCTTAAAGTGCACATGAACCCTTCGACAATACTTTCAGTACTGATTC